CGGCTTGGTTTGCTCCGTCGCTAGCGTTTTCTCTCCCACCAGGCGGACACGGAAGGCTCGCGCACGCGAGGAACCGAGAGCGGCCCATTGGGCGACGTTGGCCCACCGACGGAGAAAGCGATAGTAGGAGAGGGACACGATGATGCGGATAAGGACGGAGCAACGAGCAAAGAGCGCCGGGGGGGAGAGAGAGAGAGAGAGAGCGCGCGAGATAGAGAATGACTGAGAGAAAGTCAGGAAAAGAGAGAGAAAGAGCGAGAGTGAGACAACAGCAGCAGTCACAGCCGTTTCGACAGACCGACATAGCGACGTACGAACGACTGGGCCGGCTGCGACCGACGAGGACGGAATCGTAGAGTGCTCAGGACTGCAGTGAAGTGGAGTGAAGTAGAGTGAAGAGGTAACCCAGCCAGAGAACCACGGGAAGCAGGAATTGCTTGAGTACGGCTAGGCGGGAAGACCTGGGAGGACCGTAGAGCGAAGACCAAAGGGGAACAGAGTGGGATCAGAGGGATAAAGAGAGAGAGAGAGAGAGGACTTAGAGGTCCCGGTCGCTCATCGGACCTCGGCTGAGGGGCAAAGACTCGCATCAAACTCAGGCTGCGGCCGTGGCTCCCTTGGCGGCCCTACTAATTGCCGCCGGCCGCTCCTGGCTACGGGCCGCTGAGCATCGCGCCACGCATAAGACCCGCCACGGTTATGTTCCTTGGCTTATAGCTCTCTCGAATATATAGCTATACTCCGTATGCACACGTACACCTATACGTATACGTACATAGTACGGGTACTAGATCTCCTCGTAGAACTCTGGGGATTCGTTTCGCGAGTATGATTTTGAAGATGTCCCGTAACTTGAAAAATCGCTATGCTGTATACCGAGTTTTATGTAGTAGACAGCACACGCAGAATTGTATTTATTACAGATTTATATAGTGTTCTCTGTCACGATCTTGTCAGGCGTTAGAGTGAGAATGTTGAAGATTTATCGCCGAGGATTACCTGGTTTATCTATACTCGAAACTCATATACTTTTCTATTGGAGATTCTTAGCTGGATTCTTAAGGTTACCTCTGGATCGGGTACCTGGTTACCTGATATCTCGTATGCCTAGCCAGGGAATCGATTAGGCCGCGCTCGAGCCCTGCTCGGTCGATGAGGTTTTGGCTAGAACGTGTAGCCGTGCGAATAACACGTACAAGATGTATGCGCTTGTATGAGAGTCACGCTTGTTATTGATGCTAACCAGAATAATGATAGTCAGAGATGGCTATCGTGTACTCATCAGTAGATGCTAAATAGCTAAATATGTAGGAATACAAAAATGTTTAGATAAACAAATATCTCCGAGCACAGCGCGGATGGAAGATACTTGGAAAGCATCGAATTATTGGGTTTTTCAAAGAATAGACAGTCGCCTGGATCAATTAAAGGCACTGAAAAATTCAGTATTCGTCGAGACTCCATCGAAGGCTCAAGGATCAATAGTAGGTAACCGAGAGCAGCAAGGTGTAGCGTCGGTTTGACGGTGGCACATACTTTTCGAAAGATCGAATAACCCCTACGTGGTTTTTTTAAAAAGACGCCCTAACGTCAGGTAGGTAAGTGCCAAAGGCGTCCCAGCAAATTTTTCGCATCCGGAATAAAAATGTGTCGAGGGTTTCGCCTCGTGCGATTCCATCCCTCTTCGATCGGCTCACCGAACCTCAGTTTCCTCGTCGCACCCTATAGTCCTACCAACAGCGAGACCCTCTTTTTGGCTTGTCCTCGTCTCACTCTTAGCAACCCTCGTTCCCATCGCTCTTTCTCCAGGCCCGCAAACTCACTCCGTTTCCCTCTGGTGCGTGACTCAGCTTGGCCGAAAGCGGCCTATTCCGAAGGTAACCCCCCAGGTTGTCGTTTTTCGTCCCGTGTCCAAGCTTACACGCGGACTGGCTCCAACCCTAGCACGGGGTCACCAACAACACAGAGAGGGGGTGCGTGCATGTAGTTTCATTATTGGAGCAGGCGGCGATAATCATCGAACGTTGCCGCGGAGGTGGCAAGGGGTAGTTGGTATACGAAAGGGGTGCGGATCCGGCGAGGAATATTGGGGTTAGGGTTGGAAGCCATTAGAGAGGATTCTAGGGCTCTTTTCCACCCTGGGTTCTCTGGCTCTCCCTCTTTTTTTTCCGACTCCGTTCCTATCGTATCTACCAACCGTGCCCCCCATTCTCACCCTGGCCAACCCCTAGGCGCCTGATAAGTACACCCTCCAGTGCTTAATTCGTCCACCACGATCTGGCCACGATTTGTTTACAGTCTAGGGGGGATGACGCGGGAACAGCCTCCTTCTGGACCATCCTCGTCAGACAAAAATTGTCACACCCCCCTTAACCCCGGGCACTTCTTGTCGTAGCTGCTCGTTTTATTAACCGAGGGTTGAAACGGTTCACCCCCTCCCCCCCCCAACCTCGCTCCGGGACGCCGGTTACGGTTAACCGAACAAAACCCTCGGAATCGCGGCAACAAATTATCGGCTCGGTTGACCCCATCCTCCTTCCCCAGCATCCTCCTATTCTCACGTTGTGTACGTATTTACACAGGTACACGCCGTCTGTCTATCTCTATGCGATCCTGCTGGCTACCAATACGGAGGGCGCTCTTGACCTCTCATTCTATCCGCGCGAGTGCGACAGAGACGAAGGGGGGTGAGAGAAGTGTCTCCGACGGTGGTCCACTCTCGGCAGATACCTAACCCACCTACATACAGCTATCCGGCGAACCTCCGTAGCTACATAGATATCCACGGAGTTAGCCCAAGGTATCCTATACAGCGGCAGTGTGAGCGACGCCCCAGCGATTAGCTGTTAAACGATATTGCAACTGAAAATGACCAGATGGGTATCATTGTCCCGGTAATTTCCGCAATATAGCACCCCTTTTCCAGCTGTGCACATTTCATACTTTGACCAATGAATAAAGCACGAAGTTGGATATACCGAGGCGTACACGCGTGGACAACGTACCGCGAATACACCGTGTACGTAGGAACGCGTAATAAGCTATTTCTACGTTGTGAACGTAATAAGGGCACGAGTAGCAACGTAAGTGCGAGATATCGGTATAGCGTTGGACGTCAGTGCGTATACAGCGTACTGCATATACGTAAACGCATATGTACCAGTGCCCGATGCGGCTATGTGGAACGCACCGGCGGCCCGTACTTGTACGGGACCTTTAGCGGCTCGTGAGTTGCAGTCGGGACGATCAATGACAACCTCTCGGTGTCTCTCTTGAGCAGCTGTGTCTCTGGGTATCGCTGTCTCTCTCACGCCCACGGGTTAGAGCACTCCCTCTCAATCAAGATAGACGCGCGAGAGGCTTAGCACCGAGAGAGGCGAACACGAGCGGTAGAATTTCTCTGTAATGAGAGTGAGCGAGTAGGAGCTAGTCCGTAGTTCATTGGTGGGAGCGAGAATGACGACGGCTTTCGAGGTAGGGATTGGCAGGAGGACGTCGGAGACGTCGAGGAGGAGTACGCGGGACGAATGGGAGCCCCGAGGGATCAGGAGGCGGGAGAGGGCGAGAGAGGAACCCGAAGAGCGACGGTGGCGTCGGGTACGCGGAGTCAAGGGAGGACCAGGAGGAGAACAGCGCTGAATGAGATAGAGCGAGAGGGACGTATATGGGAATCGTGAGAGTTAGACAAGGACGGTGAAGTACCGGCACAGCCTGTCTGTGCCTCTGCTTCGGAAAGTGACTAATGACTAGCTGGCCGGACCTACTCTTCTACCACCCAACGAGAGAGACAAAGACGGAACGCAGTCAGCCCGTCTTCCTTTAACCAACGGAGATATCAGAGGTGTACGTTGTTATCTCGTGGCCCTCAACGATGGTCAACCGTGAAAAATGACTATCGCCGGAGAAATATTTTACGAGCGCATACGTACGTACCGCTGCCACATACCTACTACCAATCTACGACTCTGCTGTGGTATAAGGATTACGTGAGCGCGTGCGATGATGTCGGTTACGACTTCCTGTGGGACATCCTACGAGAGAGAAAAGGTCTTCCGCATCTGGTACCATAGAGGAGGTCACCATTTTTTAACCTTCTTGTTGATAGGCGCTACCGTACAAGATATTTGTAGGGATTCTCAGATTCTTCGTTCTGATGGCTTTTGTAACTTCTCTCCTTGCCTCTCTCTCTCTCTCTCTCTCTCTCTCTCTCTCTCTCTCTCGGTTCCCTCTCTTTTATTTGAGTCTTCACGGCTGCTGAGTTACGCTCGCGAAGCCTTTCCAAGCGTTTCGTTTCGTTTCGTTTCGTTCCACGTGGTAAAAGGTAAAAGGGGGACTCTCGCGTTGGAAGCAGGACAACCAACCTCCGGGGACACGGGCTCTGTCGCGAAACGAATGTGCAAACGGACTTATGGTCGAGGTTAATCCTCGCTGATGATTTTAACTTTGGTATACCCCAGTGCATCCTGGTTTTGCCGTTAAACTCACGAAACTCGATCGAAACTCTGCACAGACTCCTTTTTCCCTTTCGCGAAACGCGCCGACGCGTAATTAGATGTAATTAAGCAGGTATCTTATCCGATGCTCCATCGGCTACCAGCAGAGTCACTTTCCGCCTGGAGACCTTTGTTCTTACTTTTCTTCTTCCTACCAACGGTACCATGTTTTATCTGTCTAACTACTTACCTACCTACCTACCTCTATAAACCTTTTACCTCATAGTCTTTGACCTTTCTTCTGGTCTAATTCATCTTGCGTCCAGTCGTATCAACTAATTACGTACTAATGAAAAACATATAAGAGCAAATACATAGGACTCGTCCGATCTATTTTTGATTTTCGTTTCAGGTTGAACTCGATTTTCAAATTTGAATAATACACAAAACCAGCCAATAGTTTTTATTATGCGTAGGGAGTATTATACGGTTATATAATAAAACCTGAAAAAAGATCACCCAGAAGATGTACCCAGGAGATACTGGGGAATAAAATGAAGAACTCACCTTGTTGTGCGGTAGCTGTGTCGGCACATAGAGCGGAGGATCCAAACCAGGATTGGTGACAGCATGTCGGCCGACAATCCTGTCAGCGGGTTTCGCGTCGTATCCCTCAGGTTGTCCAATGTGAAATCCCTTGCTCTTTACCCAAAAACGAAACTTGCTATTTTCAGCGCTGTTCACTTCCTCCCCGCGTAGTGTCCTCAAAATCCTTGCGTATTTCTTGATAGTAATAGTCTTCGTCTTTGCCAGATCACCGTAGGTCTTAATTACCCATGGCTGATAAGCACTGAACATCGCATCGTTTTGAAACTTTTTAGGTGCACCGGTTGTAACGTCCACGCCCTGACCAGACTTCCCGACAAAGTTGGCACTGGCGGTGCCTGGTGCTACCCCCGTAAACGGCAAACCTATACCACTCTTACTATCCATAGCACCAGCTCCCTTAGCGCCAGCTACGAAACTACCAGTCATGCTATTTCCGCTTCCATTCAGACTTCCTCCCGCCGTCATATTAGAAATGTCCAGGTACGAAACCGATCCGTTCTTACCAAGATTCGTAGCATTCCCGACGAAGGTCGCCATCGACGTGGCCATGTACGGTATCGTCGAAGGCATACTTAAGCTTCCTGCGCACATGCTCGACTGATTACCGTTGATACCGATGGCGTTAACAGAACCAAAGGATGATCCATCCGCCATGGATGGTCCGGTTGACCATGAAGCCGCCACAGGAGTAACCAGTCCGTTCCCGTTAGCCTCTGCAGTCGCTAGAGACGACAGTGTATTCGAGGACGTAGTGGTGGTAGCATTGATAGAGGTAGTGGAACTTCCGCTCGCCGAGGAGTTCTTCCCTTGGGAAGTGAACTTGTTCGAAGTCCCACGGCTCTTGGAGGATTGTCCCGCGTTAGAATCTGTTCCCGGCGACGAGCAGGACGATACAGTCGAGTTCTTGGAGGCGCTCGTCGAAGTCCCTCGGGACTTCTTCGTCGGCGGTTCGTTGTGGCTCGAACAATTTGGTGAATTTAAATTTCCATGAGATGGACTGTTGTTGTTCTCTGATCTGGAACGTTTGTTAGAGCCGGATGACGATGAATGGCTCGACGGGGTCGGTGAATTGTTCACCGGTACGCGTCGACGTAGACCCATAGTGGCTGTCGCCATGGTTCGCTGTATACCTTCGGCACTCCTGAGACCCACGTAAAAGCCCTGATAATATCCAACGAGGAGAATCTCCCTCTCTCGGCTATATCTTCAGCTCCGGAGAACCACCATAGAATTCGTATCGCTCCAGCACGAACGATCCATGCACTGCTATTGAGAATTCACCAGGTGACACAGCGGCAGTCGACACTATATATATGTATATATATATACTATGGTATACCAGAGCACAGACACGAACCACGAACACTAAGAAGCACCATCTAGCTGCACTGTAATCATCCCCAGCTCCGGGTAGGCTATAGATACAGCAAGAACCACCAGAAACTCCAGCACCTTGTACGAGGACACTTTTCAATTCAGTTTAACGGCACCTCGTTGAGATGGCAAATGAAGTGGACCGAGTGTCTACCCATCGGTCCAGGCCCGTGCGATTACTTTCGCGCCGGTTTTCCTGCACCTTCCTCTCGTTCCACCTCGGCGCACCAGTGCCGCCGTCGCGACGGTGGTTCGACACCTGAAACAAAAGAAGACGAAAAGGTGACGGGGAAATTAACTAAGTGCGATTACGCGGCGGAAACGTTTAAACGAGGGTGGCGCTAATGGACTACCCTGCCGGAGGCCACCTACCCACCCTGCCTATAGGAGGTACTTCCAAGGGTAGTCGTTGGACGGAAGGTTACAAGGGTGAAAGTAGGATAGCTAGAGTAGCAACGAGGGTGCAGATTATAACTGCATGGATATAATATGTGGAGAAAATTAAACTGGGAAATTGGCTTTCGGGGGTTATTCGATACTTGGTAATATATCGGATTACTCTTTTTATTACTAATTACAAACATATGTATACACTGATCAATTATAAATTGGCTAACTGTACTATTAATGAAAATTCTTCTATACAATCTTTCGTGCAACTTCAGAACACGTATAACAACGACCAAGAGAAGGCTTCGTTCTACCGATGGTAATGGGGTTGTTTCCGCGAACGGGACACTCGACATGTGAATTCTCTCCGGTACGTACAGACTAGTCCCAGCGCCGCTCGCCTTGCGGTTTCATGCCGATCAGGCTTAAGATGGCGGTTCTATGTCTTTTTTTCCCCCCTCGATTCACGTGTCTCATACGTCTGCGCGTCCGTGCGGTAAGAGCAAAGTTGAGCGTCCGCAGCAGTCTAAGGTGTCTCCGCCAAATTAGGAAACCGGTCGCTCAGTCGTCGTCGCGTCGACTTTTCTATACCGCGCGACGGCCAAGTGGCATTTCGAAGTGGCAGCGCGCAATTTCAGCCGCGGCACGATAAAAGAAAATGTGCCGAGGACCGTGCTAGAGGTCACGTGTCATTTAACCCATTCTCGAGGTAGAAACGATGGGTGGGTTAGCTGGGTAAGTAGGTGGGTATAATGCTAATCAGCGAGTGGCTCCTGGCTAGCCCCTGGAATATAGGAGTCGCGGCGGGAGACCAAAAGGGTTGGTTGCTGCTTTGCGCTGTCGCCCTAAGGGATGTAGAGGAGTGAGAGAGTAAGACGTAAGGAAAGAAAGAGTAATCTGATATAATGACATAAAAATAAACCCCGCGTGTACACCTCTCTGCCGTTTTCAATCCTCTACACGGAAAAAAATAAAACCGTCGTTACAACCCTGCTATTCTCAGGGTCCATACATTTATACTGAAAAACAGTCGACCCCCTCGCGAAATGATGCTGATCGCATTCGAGTCATCGACCTAATAACAGGTGTACCCGTTATTTGTCATTACGCCATCCCCCCCCCCC